ATACAAATATATATACTGTATATATATATGTGTGTATATGTATATTATATAGTTGTATAGTTATTTTGTGCGTTTAGTTGCTATCGTCAGTCGAATGGGCGGGGCGCCTCCTCGCCTCAGCCCATATACTGATAGGATGCACAGACGGGCTCCTGGTGGCGCGTGTGCGGCGACGATTGCAACGCGAGTCGCTGCAGATGGCAGCCGCGGCAGAGCAGGCGGCCGTCCAGCGGGTAGCAGCGCTTGTCCGGCTCATCGGTCAGCTGCATGCCGCACTCCTCGCAGATGTAGCAATCGACGTGAAAGTCCTTGTCCATGGACACGACGCGCACGGTCTCATCGGTGCCCTCGACGGGTGTGATGCCTGCAGCAGAGCAGATTACAAATAAGATATAAATAGACATGTATATACATGTATGAGATCTGGGGGCAGCGCACCTTTGCCGCAGCTGGCGCACTTTGGCGCAAACATGCGATGGTAGTCATTGACGCAGTAGATCTTGTGATCCACATCCACGGTGAAGGGCACGCCGTCCAAGCACTCATTGCAGATGCAGCAGCGGAAGCAGCCCGGATGATATGACTTGCCCATGGCTTGCAAAATCTGAAAGTGCATGAGACCAATTAGAGGCAGACAGATAGAGTGAGGGACAGAGGGAGAGACGAGAGGGAGAGGGTCGGGGACAGGGCGTACACACCATTTCCATGATCAGGTGGCCACAAATGGCGCATTTCTCTGCCGTCTGCTGGAAGCCCGAATACTACAAAGACGATAAAGAGAGCGAGAGAGAGAGAGAGAGAGGGTGAGCTTAGGTGTGAATGAGACACGTATAGAGCCGGATAGCTACCATGTAGTCCTCCTCGCAGTAGACACGACCGTGCACATTGTAGAACGCCTTGCCGCGCAGTGCCCGGCCGCAGGAGCAGCAAATGAAGCAATTCGTGTGATATAGATTGCCCATGGCTTGGCAGGCCTGGCCGGCGCCCTTCACCTTCTCGCCGCAGGTGTGGCAAATGCCTGCAAGTGGAAGATTAACGATCAGATAGCTGCATATCGGTCTCAACTCTCTCTGGCCTACCAAAATACTCTCCATGCTCCTCGCTCTGCTCGATCTCCTCCTCCAGCTGGCGCGTCAGCTCCTCGATCTTGCGCTGCGCCTCGGTCGGGCCAGCCGGACGCGGCGGAGTCACGCTGTATGGCAGCAAATTCTTGGTCAGACCTGTTTCGTGGGCAAAGTACAGTAAACATTAAACATGTGCGACACGAATAAAGAGGCGCTTAAAGCATGGCAAGTGGGTTAGATGATTAGGCATACCTCGTTTGGGCCGCAAGGCGGCTATGCAAGCATGGTTAAAAAGAGCATAAGATTATGATTAGAGTTAGGATTAGGATTGTATATATTTAAGTATATTTTATGTTTTAGTAGCTTGACTAGCCTATTTGAGCAAGTTCCCATTCAAACGTAGTCTATATGAAGCCAGTAAAACGTTTAAGACAGCTGCAATGGTATAAGCTCTCTGTTATTCCTTTTCGTGAGAAACTTTATTTGAGGTAGTTCTCTAGAGGGAATGCGAGCTAGGCTTTTCCAAAAGAGCTACTATTCCTTAGAGAGCATTACGAAAATAACTACAAGTCTTTAGAGAGCATTACTAAAAGCCAGTAAAACCTTTTTGACAATAGTTATGGTAGGTTTTGTCGGTTCCGCTCTATCTCTCTCTCTCTCTCTCTCTAGAGAATGCGAGTTAGGACTTTTCGCTAGATAGGAAAACGTTTTTGAAAGAATCTGCGAGACAGAGAGAGAGAGAGAGAGAAAGAGAGAGAGAAAGAGAGAGAGAGAGAGCGGAAGAGAGAGAGATAAAACTAGAGAGAGTGAGAGGGAATGATATGGGAATAGCATCCGATATTCTCTCGACTCATTTTTCCCTTCTTTTAAATGAGAGCTGCTCTTTAGGATAAACTTGAGAAATACACAAGCGCGAAGAGCCCAAAAAATGTCTATGATAGAAGATATGATGATGAGATTAATTAATAATTCTTAGTATTCATTAGATTTACTATTTCGAATAAATAGTATGATCTTTCCAGAGAGAGAGAAAGTCCTTAGGCTTCTCTACAATTAGAGTTATTGGATATTAGAGAAGTATTTGGCATAGGAGCTACTCTTTTAGAAAGACGCATGAATATGCGACTGCGAGAGGGAGAGAGAGAGAAAAAAAGGTGATAAAAGTGCAACTGACATTCCGCTGCCCCCTCAACTTCTCTCTGCTCCAGTTCCTCCAGCTTTTCATTAAAATATTTTCCAGTAGAGCAGAAAACCCTGATAAGAGTTAGTCATATACTTTCTGTATGCATATTCGTATAGCTGAGCCGTATCGTATAGCTTACGTGCAGGGGTTAGTCATATTGCTGTCTTGGTATTGGTGCGCATCGAGATGCACTCACCTGTGCTGCTCTGCGAGGGCGTTGGCGATGTGGCCACCGCGAGTGGCGCCGTTGTGGCGATGGGCGTGGCGCGCAGCTGCAGGGGTTGCATTTGCGCTGCGGCGGACGTCGTTGCCGTTGACGTCTGCGTTGCGGCCGCTGTCAACGGCGGCGGCGGCAATGGCGGCTGCGGACTGACCGCAGTCAGTCGTCCATTGTTGTTACTGTTGTTGTTGTTGCTGCTGCTGCTGCTGTTGTTGGGACTGCGACTGTTGACGGCGCTGCTGGTGGGGACGGCGGCGGCGGTGCTGCGGTGCAGATTGGCCGTCATGCAGACATAGTCGGAGCTGTTGATGTCCTCGATATAGTTGGGATTGACGGACACATTGATGCCCACCTGCTGCTGCTGCTTGATGGGCGTGTGCTGCTGCAGCTGCAGTTTGGCCAGCGGCGGTGGAGCCGGCGAGGCCAGTGGACTCCCATGGCTGGGCAGCGATAGATTCCGATAGCGCTGCGTGGGCGAGCCCAAGGCACCGGAGCTGCCACCGGCATTGGACGAGCTGTTGTTGCTGCTGCTGCGCTGGTGCAGCGGCGACGATAGCATCATCGCATTCAGCTCCATTTGGTTAGCTGTGGGCGTGGGCGTGGCCATCTCTGTGTGCTGATACATGGTGGCCGTGGCCGGCGATGCCTGCGGCTGGGCCCGCTGCCCGGAATGGGGTATAATGTTCTCATAGATCGGCGCCACGGCGGACAGCTCCTCGATGGGCTGATGTGTGTGCTTCTGGGGCGCCTCCGGCACGGGCGTATGTGCGAATCGACCGCCCCCAATGGGCTGCATCAGCAAATAATCGTTCAGCATGACGCTCTGCCGACTCGCCGGACTCTGGGGCTGGGCACGCCGCTGGTTCGTATCGAACTGGCCATAAAACTCCAGATTCTCATAGACCGGCGAATGCTTCTGCGGAGCTATGCGCTGGCCAAGCACCTGAGCCGTCGGCGCATATATCAGCGGGGGCTGACTGTTGCTGCCGTTGCCTATCATAATGGGCTCCGCGCCGGGCTTGGGTATTGCGGTGGCGTACTTCGAGGCAGCTATTATATTGCCACGCTCATAGAGCTTGTAATCCTCGCTGTTGGACAGCCGCTGGTGGTGCTGTTGCTGCTGCTGGTGTTGATGGTGGTGCTGCTGCTGCTGCTGTTGCGGCTGTTGTGGTGCATCGTGCATAAAGTTGTCAAAGCCGCCGGGCGAGCGCTGATAGCTGCCGCCAATGTGCAGCCGCTGCATGAGCGTCTCATAATCCGAATCACCGGCTCCACTCCCCACCGCGGTGCTGGTGGCATTTCGATGCGTTCGCTGGGTGGTCATTGTGCACACATATACATACACGCACACACACGTATACGCGTGAGTCGAACAGAGAGCGTTGAGCGACGATGACTTGTTTCGCTCAAGGAGTTTTTGTCCCTTTGATGATGTCTTACCAGTCTGCCGTCTTTTTTGACGCTGCCAATTTATGTGCGATTTATCAGCTTTGTGACACCATCATTTTTTATTCAGTTTTTTGTGTGTTTAATTTTGTCGAAACAAAGACAAGTTGCAAAGAAGAATCTCTCAGACACAATAACACAGGTACGCACAAATGTCTATGTATTTGTTGGTGTTGTTGATCTTATATCGATACATCGATAAGTTTCATTTGAAATTTGCGTATCGTACCGTATCGATAGACTTTAGGGGCGCTCAAGCGCAACTGCCAGTGGAATTCAAATCATGTGAGAATATGGCAGCATTGCTTTAACATTTAAATATTTTATTGATCAGCTGTTGACTAAATTAAGGGCAATTTATGGTCACCTGGTTGAAAAGTGAATTCAGATAATTTATGAAACCGTTGTACAGAAATATATATGCAGCTCAAATTTATTGCTTATGAAAATAAAATGAATTTACTTGTATATTCGCAGCAATAAATAATAAAAACACATACACCAGGAGACATTCCAATGTGCACTAGATGGCGCTAATCTCGAAAGAAATAGGCGGTAAGTTTGAAAATAATATTAACTTAGATAAAGTTGTACAAGTAAAACAACAAATTCTTTGCCATTAGCAATTTTCTTTATTTGCAGCTACACATCAGATACATTTATTGTTTCAAATATTATTTTAGCCTAACTTAATTGAAATACAGCGGCAACACAAGCATCGCAGAATAAAAACAATTGTATTTAAGATGGCCCGAGTGGATTTCAAATTAGCTGCAAGATTTGCGGCCTTTAAATTTGAATTGCTAAATAAATGATCAAATATTTAAAATTCTGCAGTTTTGCTTTATTTAGAGTTTACACTTTGGAGATTTTTTTTGTTTGTATTTGTTTTTGAAATATAATGTTGTCTAGTTTAATTGCAATGCAGCGGCAACACCAGCACCAGCTCAGAAAAAAAAAAATAAAATAAAATAAGAATCTACCTACAACGGATAAAAGTACACGTTAAACATATTTGCAAAGATTACTCGATGCAATCGCTGGAAATCGAAGTTACCGTTGCTAATGCCCTGTATATAAGTTTGTAGAATTTTGGTCTGTTGGATTAATATAATGGATTAGTAGAGGAAACGTTTCACATCAAAGTACACAATTATCATGCATACATACATAACTAATGTTAATGTAAATGTATATAATAATAATAGCAAGTATATATGGATTGCATTTTATATCGCATCTATCATTTCTCATCTGAGTCCTTCTGATGACAGGTTTGATTCACTTTAAATATGTTGGAGAGTTCATCCAGCAAAGTCTCGTAGCGATAGGCGACGCGAATTTCTGGAACATTGGTGCGTGTTATGTCGTTGCCATTGATGCCATCCTCATAGTAGTTGGGTCCCAGCCACTGTTGCTTGATCTGTGAGTGAAACATATGGAATCATATGATTATAAGCCATAGCACGGAAAACTCTTCCAGAGTTCTTTACTCACGTTATGTGGAAATCCGCTCATAATAACGCTATTGCGTGCCAGCTCGCACATGTCGCAGGAGCTGAGCTTCCACACCTGCGCTGCAATGCTGTACTCCTCCATGAGGGGTTCCTAATCAAAAACGTCGTAAGATAATTAATGACACATGTTTATATTTCCACTCTCTCTCTCTCCCTCTCTGTTTGTTCTGTCCACTTACCTTGGTGAAGTGAAACTGCAACGGATCATCGGTGGACAGTGAGATAATCAGTCCACGAGCCAAATATTCTGGCAGTGGATTGCGATGGTAGTTGAGAAACAGCGAATTGTTCGACAATGGCGACATAGCAATGCCAATTTGGGTCAAGTAGTAGAGGTACTGCAGCACCGGCACCTTGCGCAGCAGCAGGCCGTGCGAAATGTTCTCAGCCATCAGATAGCCACAGACGAGATGCTGCACAGGTCCAGCCTCGCCGCAATGAGGACGTAGCACGAATGTATTCAGACCGCGCTGCCTGTGAATGTGAATACGATATTAATCGCATATAATATACATATATACTTGATCAGTCCCCCGCCCGTTCTCCACTCACTTTCTAAATTTGTTTAGCACCGTCATATTGGCGAACATGTAATATATGTAGTAAGCATACGGTGGATTATCCTCGTACGTCCATTCCTCCGGCCGGGGCACGTCGCTATCGAATAGCGGATTCTCTGGCTTGGACTCATCATCCACGGAATCGAAACCAATCACGTAATTCAAGAAACGATGTAAATTTGCATTTTCACTTGGCTTGTTGGTCGCCTCGAATAGCGGCAGAAATATGTTATTCATTATCTCCTGGAATGACGTCATCATCTTGTTCGACTTGAAGATATCGAACAGACGCGGTATCTGTATCAACCAACGTATGTTCGAGCTATAGACATCATTATCGATGGCCCATTTGGCGAGTTTATTCCACTCATCGGGCGATTTACCATAAATGGAGAGTCGCAGCT